CCGACAGAGAGAGCTAAACTATACATGTGGCAAGCGGTGCAAACAACAATAGCAGGAGAAGAAGCCATTACTCACTGTGATTGATGAATGATTCTTACTTACCACAGTTGTTTGATGAACTTGTGAAAAAAAACGGAGCGAGAGAGAAAAGAAATGGAGCGAGAGAAAAAAAAAACAAAAAAAACGCAATAGGTACGAATGGAAACGTTAATGACAAGCTAACGAATGCTAACGCGCTGCAGGTGCGCTGCACTCGCGGTTTTAGAATAAATGCGAACGATCAAATTAATCAGATGAGCTTGATAGATAATATCAGAAATATGGTGGGAATTAAGTTATATTTTATCACTTTAAACAACAGAGAGTGATAGAGATTTTACAGAAAAACAAAGCTACACGGAGCTACAATCACAAACCAGCACTGCAAATAGGAAGCAGGAATAACACTGTCCAACAGCGACACCCAAGGTGACTTGAAAGCACCTGCATCATAATTACAATTTGTCAACTCATAAATACGAACTTCCCAGGAGGACTGGAATGCACTATGAAGTAGCATAGAAATTGTTGGTGATAATCAAAAATTACTGCAATTCTAATATCTTGCAAAATTACAACAAAAAGTTGTTCAAAAGCATACGTTAACACACAAACTGGCCAACAAGCACAACTTTTAGATTTTATTTCCAAAATCACAGACTGGAAAGCACAGGATAGTGGGATATGAAAAAAGATCAGATTAATTTTTCAGCTTTCAGATGAGCCCGGATGTTTGTTGTAATCTAAAAGACCTTGATAGCTAGTTCGGGTGTGTTTAATCAGGGCTGGAGCTGAACCAACAGCATGCTGGCCCTCCAGAAGCAGGGCACCTCTTCAAAGTCTATGGTACCACTAAGGTAATACAGTAGTACTATAATAATTCCATATATGCACTTACATGCTGAAATATATACATTCCCTCTTTGAAACCTTGCCAGATGGTTACACAGTTGCAGAGATGTTCTGTTAAGCATAAATTGACGTTGTGACTGAATAGCATTGCAAACTTCCTTAACTTGCTTAACAAAATTAGGACTGAACTTTGCCCACCAACTAATCATGCTTTATTTCTGACTGAACTAATCATGCATTATTTTCATTCATCCGGAAAAGTCTTTGTCTTTTGCAGCATTGAAATGTCTATTGGTTATAGAGCAGATCGATGAGAGGACCACCTGATCCATCTATAATAGAACGAGCACAAATGCCTGAGTCATTAGGATGGGAGCAGTACAACTGTGCTTCAGAGCTCAGATGCTCTCCTGTTCTCCTTTCTGCTTGTTTTCTCTCAGTTCTGTCAACCATTACAAATCTGCATGCTGAGCATGTCTAATAAGGACACCGTATGGATAATCTCCCTCCATTCAGCCTCTCTTTTACCAATGCTGGCATGTCTCGTTTCCACAGATCTCAGTGAAATTGTTTAACATTGCACACTGGAAGAGGACCAGAGTAAAATCATGAAACTCAACCTTCCTCTCCGTCTGCAAACCAGCAGTATTGCACATCCACTTCACATGAAACAAAAATCAGAGGAAACTGCTAACTACTCCAAGCTGCAATGGATTTCAGATCGAATATACAAATTTATACAGTTTGATGGCTTAGTAGACTATAGATTGGTTCCAGATGCCCTTCCAAAATCCCAAGGCTAAAATGAGAAGAAAAACGTTACCATACAGCAAGGGTTTCTAGGAGCACGTCAAGACTGGTCTCTTTTCTTCACGGTGACAGGTCCACTTTAGTGCAGATTTGCCCAAAAATAGCAATATTAGCTCTGAATTCTCTATTGAATCAGAGCAGCGCTGGAATTTCCTCTATGTCGGCTGCTGGTTTTTCTTGTGTACACTCTCTCAGTTTGAAGTCTTTACTCGGAGACCTGTGGTCAGGATCTCTACCTCAAAAATCCAGCAGGACTCAAATCCGATGCTGAGGGGAGGAAAAACACAGGGTTGTTTGCACAAAAACTCTTGCTTTTTTTGTTTGTTTTCTCTCACACAATTCATACTGACAGCACAAGCAGTGCAAGTAAGTCTTCAGCAGAGCTAGACACAGAGAAGACACTACTGTTTTCACAGTGTATTCACCTAAAAGCGAATCCTCATTGTGATTTTTATGAAGAAAACGCATGTGGTGTTTGCACAAACTAAACTCACAATCAACTGTTCTGGGGTGTGTTTCTGCTGCTCAAGTACCAAGTAGGATGCATTGTTGAAGAAATCAACTAGCCATGACTGTTTTCTGAATCTGTGGTAGCTTTGTCACACATTTGTGGTTTGAACCACGTTGTTTCAACAATAGAACTGTTGCTAATGATGTTATGCAGGTGGTGGAGTAATAACGTCCACTAATTATTTAATTTGAGATTGAATTAATGTCAGATTATTGCTGTAAATAATGAACATCTGAGGACTACTTCGCTATTTTTGTTCTTTGTTGTTTTGATTTATTTCCAGAAGTATGATTCCATTGTAGCATCCTCCTAAGTCATACTTTCGGTATTCCCCATGGGCTCTAAACTAGAGAACATGCTCACTTATTATTTTGATAAGGTAAAAGGATTAAAATAAAATGTGCATATATATGGAATGAAAGATTGTGCATGATAGCGTGCTTTTTTTTTTGTTGCTTTGCATGAACTATTTAAGTGGAGAGCTGGATTTCCAACAACACAACTTGTCACGCTATTTGCAAATGTTTGTTGGGAGTATGGTTTTGGGAAATTCAGAATTGTTGAACTATGTCACAACTGGGTTGCTGTAGTAATGCACAAGACGAAATGCAAAAATGCAAGTGGTGTTTATTAAATCAAGAATACCGAGGAACACAACCACTAAACACTGACGAGATCAGACAAAGTACTGAAAGACACAGGGAGTATACAGGTGCATCTCAATAAATTAGAATGTCGTGGAAAAGTTCATTTATTTCAGTAATTCAACTCAAATTGTGAAACTCGTGTATTAAATAAATTCAATGCACACAGACTGAAGTAGTTTAAGTCTTTGGTTCTTTTAATTGTGATGATTTTGGCTCACATTTAACAAAAACCCACCAATTCACTATCTCAACAAATTAGAATACTTCATAAGACCAATAAAGGAAACATTTTTAGTGAATTGTTGGCCTTCTGGAAAGTATGTTCATTTACTGTACATGTACTCAATACTTGGTAGGGGCTCCTTTTGCTTTAATTACTGCCTCAATTCGGCGTGGCATGGAGGTGATCAGTTTGTGGCACTGCTGAGGTGGTATGGAAGCCCAGGTTTCTTTGACAGTGGCCTTCAGCTCATCTGCATATTTTGATCTCTTGTTTCTCATTTTCCTCTTGAAAATACCCCATAGAT